AGCCCCACTTACAAAGCCAGCAACTTTGGGGAATCCACACTCAAATGGGTAGTTTAGGTGTGAGCACCCTAGTCCCAGAGCTGGGGAAAGAAACGATAGAAAACCAAGCACTATTTTAAGCACCTTGCATGTATTAATCTTTTAATCCTCATAACAACTGTAAGAGGTTGGTCATATCTACATTTTTAGGTAGGATACTGAGGCAAGAACTGAAGCAGGTTGCCTGAAGTTACCCAGCTAGCAAGTGGTAGGACCAGGATTCAAACCCAGAACCTGGCTTTGGAGCCCTGAATCTCAGGTGCTTCTTGCCCACCCTTACCTCAGCCCTGCTCTCCACAGATGCTGATGAGTGTGTGATGTTCGGGCCTGGTCTCTGCCAGAACGGCCGGTGCCTCAACACAGTTCCCGGCTACATCTGCCTGTGCAATCCTGGCTACCACTACGATGCCACCCGCAGGAAGTGTGAGGGTGAGGATACACTCCCCGCTGCCCCCCCCCCCAACAGCTGATTGCTCACCCAGCCCTGCCAGCCAGCCCCTGTCTTGCTGGGAGTTCCCCTTCCAGGGACAGACCCTCTGGCTGCAGCAGGCAGGTCTGAGGTGAGGGGAGCTATGGGGACATCGGGGATTGTATGTGAGGACCTGCTGGAAAAGTGCCCCTGGGGAGGGTCTCCCAGGCTGGGCTGGGGGCAGGAGAGGGGGAAGCAGGGTGCTACCTCTCCCTTATCAGTTACAAGCAAATCCCTTTCCCTGAAAGTGGTCCGTGGGCAAGCCGTCCTGGCACTGCCCACCCCCCCGTTCCTCCGTCTTCCTGCCCCCACAGATCATGACGAGTGCCAGGACATGGCCTGCGAGAACGGCGAATGCGTGAACACGGAGGGCTCTTTCCACTGCTTCTGCAGCCCGCCCCTCACCCTGGACCTCAGCCAGCAGCGCTGCGTGAACAGCACCAGTGGCATGGGTCAGTGGGCCTGGGATGGCGGGGCCGCAGGGGGAGTGGACCTAGACTGGGGGCTTAAAGGCCTCTTTCTGTGCCACCAGAGGACCTGCCTGACCATGACATCCACATGGACATCTGCTGGAAAAAAGTCACCAATTACGTGTGCAGCCAACCCCTGCACGGGCGCCGCACCACCTACACGGAATGCTGCTGCCAGGATGGCGAGGCCTGGAGCCAGCAGTGTGCCCTGTGCCCCCCCACGAGCTCTGGTGAGAGGGCGGCCTGCGCCTGCACGGAGGGAGGGGAGACCTTGCAGAGCCGGCTGGGCCTCAGGGTGGAGAGTGTCCTCGCCTTGGGGAAGGGTTAGAAAGGAGTAGTGGCCCTGTCTTCAGTCCCTGCTGTTTGGGAATGAAGTGGGGCAGGCGGTGGGGCACGGCCAGGAGCTCTCAGAGGGCACCGGTCCCAGCGTGCTCCCTCTCCCCGGGGTAGCGAGCCAGGGGACAGCACGCCAGGCTGTCACCTCCAGGAGCCGCGCCCAGCTTCCCCTCTCTCTCCTCCCTGACAGAGGTCTACGCTCAGCTGTGCAACGTGGCCCGGATTGAAGCCGAGCGGGAGGCCGGGGTCCACTTCCGACCAGGCTATGAGTATGGCCCCGGGTCTGAGGACCTGCACTACAGCCTCTATGGCCCAGATGGGGCCCCCTTCTACAACTACCTGGGCCCCGAGGACGCCATCCCTGAGCCGCCCTTCCCCAACACAGCCGGCCACCCAGGAGACCACGTACCCGGCCTGGAGTCTCCCCTGCAGCCCTCAGAACTCCAGCCCCGCTACGTGGCCAGCCACCCAGGTCTGTGTTACTGCAGAAATGGGGAGGAGGTGGGCACCAGCGTGGCTTCGCTCCCATCTCCTCCACCTGCTAATCGCTGCCAGCAGGGTGAGGACAGGGAGGGGGAAGGTGCTCCAAGGCCTCTCAGGGGTCGCTCAGGGGACAGCTCTGCATGCCCAAGTTGGACCTGAACCACTCCCTCCGGTAAACTAGCACAGGAGACACAGAGGCACAGGACACCACCGTCCCAACCTCAAAAGCTTCCCCGCGGAAGGAAGTTGAGTGGGAGAAAGCGGGTAGAGAAAGCAGGTACACACCGTACTGTCCAATTTTCTCCCTCACCCTTAGGTATACAGAACAGCCTGCTCTACAAGTTCAAACTTGTGACCCGAAATGTTAACTCAGGATTTACAACCTCTTCATTTATTTTTTTACTTTTTTATTCATTTGAGAGAGAGAAGAAAGGAGAGGAATAGATAGAAACTTTGATGAGAGACATCAATCAGCTGCCTCCTGTACGCCCCCTACTGGGGATCGAGTCCACAACCTGGGCCTGTGCCCTGACCAGGAATCGAACTGTGACCTCCTGGTTCATAGTTCAATGCTCAACCACTGAGTCATACCAGCCAGGTGGGATTTACAATCACTTTTTTTATTTGTATTTATTTTATTGATTTCAGAGAGGAAGGGAGAGGCAGTGAGAGAGAGAAACACCAATGATGAGAGAGAATCATTGATTGGCTGCTTCCTGCACACCCCCTATTGGGAATCGAGCCCCAAACCAGGCATGTGCCCTGACCAGGAACCGAACCTGTGACCTCCTGATTCATAGGTTGATGCTCAACCACTGAACCATGCCGGCCAGGCTATAATCACTTTAAAGGCCCACTGTGGTGACTTGGTTTGTAGGTGGCAATGACCCCAGCACTCAGGACTTGGATGGAGTCTAATGAGGAAGTCAGGCCTGGCATCTGTCAGTGTGCCTGCCACAGGCACAGCCACCTTCCCTGATGCAGACTGCAGTGAGGTTAGGGATGGCGTCTTTTTCAGGGTGGGAGTTGCTTAAAGAGAGAAGTGGGTTAGGCAGACCCGCTAGTTCTGCTTTGTGTTGAGTAAGGGTAATCTACTTTTGCTGCCAATTTCCTCCCAGCAGGAAAAAAAAAAAAGTGTTTTAACAAAATACCTTCCCACCAACCACAGCAAAACCAAAGCTGTAATGATACCCACTGCTCAGGAGCCCTGGCCTTATGAAAGCAGTGAATCCCTACCTTCTTAGAGGCCTCATTGAAAGGTCTACCCCTCCCAAAATGCCTCTTATTTTTAAAGAGCATTGCCTTTTCTTTTAGCCTTTTTCTGTGAAAGCTTTATGACCCTCCCCACCTTCACCCCAGGAACTCAACAGGAGCCACTCTTTGTAGTGGAGGGTGAGGGTCCAGGGTGGGTCCAGGCCTCAGCTCCCTTCTCTGACTTCCGACCAGAACACCAGGCTGGCTTCGAAGGGCTTCAGGCAGAGGAGTGTGGCGTCCTGAACGGCTGTGAGAACGGCCGCTGTGTGCGTGTGCGGGAAGGCTACACCTGTGACTGCTTCGAGGGCTTCCAGCTGGACATGGCCCACATGGCCTGTGTGGGTGAGTTTAGCCTCAGAGTGGCAATGCCCGGGAAGCACTGATGTCTCCCTGTGGGAAAGTCAGACTGGCCCTTGCTCACCTTAGGGATGGATACACAACTAAACTCGGGTCCATAATCCACTGTGGCCCCCTAGGGAGGCTGTCCAGTGCCAGGTCGGGTGGTGAGAAAGCTCCAAAGGAAGGTTGCATGCTGTGTTTAGTAAGCTTTCCATGGAGGTGCCTACACAGAAAAAAGACAGGGACAAGAGTATGGCCACTCTCCTGGGCACAGTATGGGCGCACCACCACCTGCTTTGTGTCCTAGAGTTGTTTAGTTTGGGCGGTGCCTTCAGCCTCTGGCCGCTATACCTAAGATTGCCCTGCAGGGGGGGAGGGGAGGACTGGAATTGGTGATCAGAGGGCCAGAGGCAACAGGCCAGAGACCCTCGGGCTCCTGCCATCTCTCTCCTGCCTTCCTTCTCCTTAGATGTGAATGAGTGTGATGACTTGAACGGGCCTGCTGCACTCTGTGCCCATGGTCACTGCGAGAACACCGAGGGCTCCTACCGCTGCCACTGCCCCCCCGGTTATGTGGCCGAGGCAGGGCCCCCCCACTGCACTGCCAAGGAGTAGCAGTGAGGGGTCAGTGTCGGCAGCTACCTGGAAATGGGCCTCAGGCAGGGGCCTTGAGGACGCTTTCCTAGCTGGGAAGATACCATGAAGTCATCGGGCAGGAGGCCCTGCAGCCCCACTCCCAGCCAGCCTTGCCTGCTTTTCATCTCTCCCAGTTTAGGCTCGAGCTGTGAGCTTGTCACTGCCTCCATGCCACCATGCCCTTGCTTGGCTCAAACACCACCAAATGCTTTAATGCTTCAGCCACTGGCCACAAGGCCCAGCCCGCCATCTGTCCTGGCCTGACTATGAGATGCTTACCAAAGGATGGCCCTCATCCTCCACCCCAAGCTGTGCAAACGTGCAAGGTCCTTTGGCCTTACACCGCACCTTTTCCAGCCACGATCCACCTATCATCCTGATGACTGCAAAACTGGGTCAGAGGCTACATCTGTCTTAGGATGGGCCTTCAGAATCTGTGGAGCACAAAAGGACTGGAGAAAGTTTGGGGAGTGACTCCAACGCCTCCTACCAAAAACCATCACTGCCTCTTAGCCAGTCTGGTCTGGACCAGATTTTGCCACATCATCTTATAGCCACTTCTGTGGCCCCTGGGAGGAGCAGAATATCCCCTCATCTGGAAAAGCAAGACTGATATCCCCTGGGAGGAGAAGATCCCCTCATCCGGAAAAGCAAGACTGATACCAGCTTGCTGAGTGTAAGAGACACAAATGAAGGGGAGCAAGAAGACTGAGAAAGCAAGAGGGAAATATTAAAAATATAGGGAATTGAGAAAAAGAAAAGGGGTGGGGAGCCAGGGCTTCACACAAATCTAAAGAAAATATTCAGTTGCTTTGAGTAAATATTCAAAATGTACCCAGCGGAAGCTCCTTTACACAAGACAGGGTGCCCGTCTCGGAAGACCTGCTCCTTACAGGAAACACCTTTCTCCTGGGCTCTCCTTTTGTGGGCACCAGTTTGAGTGTTAAAAATAAAGAGGTCTATTTCCTAGCATGTGGGATACAGCGTAGTCCTGTTTGGGGGGAAGGCAGATTTCCTGTTGTTTCTCCTCTCTTCTCAGAAGCCTCTGCCCTCTCAACCTTCATAAAAGGGCTGGCTGGCATTCCTCTGAGTTTACAAGGAAAGACCCACTCCAACCTTGGCTAGCTGGGAACTTAGTTAGAATAAAGAAATGTACATCCGGGCCCTTCACTTTTGTTTCACATGAAACCACATTTCTTTACCACGTTGGCTAAGTCTAAATATTAGCGAGGAGGCTGTGCCTACCTCTCGCCAGCTCTGCCAGTAGCCTGTGATGGGGTTCCAGTGGGAAAAGGTTCTTTACTCTTCTGAGACGAGAAAGCTCTGACTTTGTTTTCCTCCAATGAACTGCAGTGTAAGTGAGCAAGGCTCCCTGTGCCTGGAGACATGGAAATGAATACTATTTTCTTAATTTAATCTGTCCTGTCCTACCTGCTGCTCTGATCGTCAGCCATCACGTAACTTATTGAATGCTTGCTCTGTGCTAGGCACTGTTGAGTGCTATACCCAAATTTCATTTAATTATCCAACAATCCCATTTACTATTTCTATTCCCAACTTAGAAATGGAAATATCCTGACCCTCACTCACAATAAAAGAAATGCAAGTGAAACCACCGAGACGCTCTTGTCAGTTGGCAAGCATCTGGGGAAAAAGGCACATGCATAGCTGACGGAAGTGTAAAGTGATACATTTTCTGAAAGGATATGGAAATGTCTTTCAATATTATAAAAGCACTTACTCTTTGAATCAATAATTCCACTTCTAGGAATTTAATCTTCAGCTATTTTCTCACCAAATGTGAAATGACATATGTAAGAGGTCATGGTATAGCATTATTTGTAATAGCAAAAGCTTAGAAACAATTACTATTAATTGCTATGGAGCCCTAAAAAGAAAAAGTGGCTCTAAATGCCTTGCTAGGATATCTAAAAGAGATGAAGGGGAAAGGAGGGTTGTATAGCAAAGTGTAACACATGCTGCTACTTGTCTGAAGAAAGGGGAGAATTGGGTATTCGCTAACTTCATCTTACACCCCATGTTTCAGAGAATGTCACCATTCCTCAATATACCCTGCTGGCACTGCGCTTCCTTAAGTGCTGTTCCCATTGCCCCTCCTCCTCTCTTACCACCCTGCTTGCCCTTCCAGAGACATTTCATGCACATACACACATTTCTATGTACTAAAAACACAAACAGCATGCTATGCATGCTGTCCTACACTTGCTTTTTTCACTTAATTATAAGTTTTCTCTCTTGGGCTGCGACCAGCATGGCTAGAGAGCGGACGAGTCCTGAGTAGGGACAGCTGGGGATTGAGAAAAGGAAAAAGAGAGACAGACACAAAGACTTTAAGTAAAGCTGGGACCAGGTGGGATGCTGCCCTCAGATGGAGACACAATGACCCTGAGCTAGTACAGGGTGTTTATTATATACAGCATGATACCGGGAAGTTTTACTAGAGTTTAAGACAAAGGAAATTATGTGAAATCATGGTTAAAGATC